AAAAAAAAAAAAAAAAAGAAAAAAAAATGTACAAATTGTTCATTTTCAAGCTGTAGACATCAGTCTGTCTGTAGGGATCACCCAATACCTTCCAAACTTGTTTAAAAGTTACTCAGTAAATTTTACAATCTATACAAAGAAACAAAGTGACAAGTTCATGTTAAAAACTTTAGTTTCATTGAGTCTATATTTTTAAGTTATTACCTGGAATCAAGAGAAGTAAAAAGTTGATCAAACTGTTTCTCCAGGACCTCTAAAAGACTGACCGTTTCCTCTTTTGTTTGATTGTGTATGTGTTCTAGCATCTGTGAAGAACATAATACAAAGACCTAATTTAGTATTTTTATTTTGTAGAAATTGTACTGTTCAAATAATTTTAAAAGTAAAAGGCACTTTGGACTTTTCAAAGTAACCACACAAGAGGAGATTAGGTGATAAAAATGGAATAAGTTACAGGTTCAACTTTAAATCCTGGTACTTGTCAGCAAGATCACATCTTTGTTGGCACTATGCACTGATAAACTGGCAAAAAGGCCTAGAAAATCCACTAAGTTTTCTAAACTTCTTATTCCTTTTTATCATTACAGGAAGAGTCATTCTGGATAGCTGAATTTCTCTCTGGCAGGATTCCTTAAATGAAAAAACCTTAATACATAATATTAGACATACCTGAATTAAAATGTTAACTATTCCACATCTTTGCATTTTTCGACAGAATTGTTGCTTGAGATCTGTGACCCCTTTTTTCCATTTTCTCCCTTTTAGAACAGGAATGTCTATCTTATACCTGTCTAACCAATGTATTTTAGAAGGAGATTAATTATCTAGTTTCACAGGTTCATGGTTGGAGAGGAATTTTGCCCCCAAATGAATCATACCCTGAGTCTCAGCCACACCTGATTTAGAAGATATTTAGATGAGATTTTGGACTTGATGCTGGAATAGATTTAAGACTAGGTTGGGATGGGATGAATGTATTTTGCATATAAGAAGGACATGAATCTGGAGGGGGTCAGAGAGCAGATTGTTATGGGCTGAATTTTGTCCACCCCTCTCCCAAATTTGTATGTTGAAGTCTTAACTCCTGTATCAGCTATAATCTTTTGACTGCCTTGGTTGTAAATTTGTTGCTGCTGGGTGCTTAGGAGCTTGTTTTTTGTCACCAAGTGAGTCTCTTTTGGGGGGGATGGAGTAAAGGAGGAAAGAAAATAAGATTCTTTGTGTAAGGGTAAACAGCCGAATAATGAGCAATGTTAGAAAGATGGTCTGCAATACTTTCGAGACAAAATTCAGCTCACAGCAAGAAGAAAATCATGGTTCCTTAAGAGTGCTCCAATTTCAGTAGACCGCTAGCATAACAATGCCACAAGACCAATCCTAGCAGGCCATGGAAGTCTTCTATTCTTTTGTATGTTTCTCTGTCATTGGATTATCATGCTCAATAACTTAGTGCTAGGCTCTAACTTCAGTGATATACCCCTAAATATACACATTTAAAGAGAACATGCCTTAATTCACTATAGAATTTAATCATTTAAAATGCTTACTTTTACAGCAACACTTAATTGTTCAAAACTATAGCCTGCTATCTTCAATGCTTCATCAATTTCTTCTGCAGTTTTAGTTTCCTAAGAAGGCGAAAATGGTCCACATACAAATATAAAATATAAAAATAGATGCTTATATACATTATATTAGTTGCAAACGTATCAGGCTACAATTTTGATTACAAAAGTAACACAGACCACCACAGAAGTCTGAAAATAAGTAACAAAAATGACACTTTCAATCCTACTTATCCAGAAATTTAAAACTAACATTTTAGAGTTTTGATTATAGATTATAGTATTCAAGCTTGTTTTTAGGTATCTTTTTGAAAAAATAGTTTTAAGTTGGAAAATGGTTACACAAAATATTCTGTCTTGAGGGGCGTCTGGGTGGCTCAGTTGTTAAGTGTCTGCCTTCAGCTCAAGTCATGATCCCAGGGTCCTGGGATCAAGCCCCACATCGGGTTCCCTGCTCAGCGGGAAGCCTGCTTCTCCCTCTCCCACTCCCCCTGCTTGTGTTCCCCTCTCTCTCTGTGTCTCTGTCAAATAAATAAATCTTAAAAAAAAAAAAAGAAACCAACTATCTTGAAAAACGTACCATGGCAATTAATGCACACACACGTAAAAATTAAGTTTTTAAAGATTATAATTTGGCTATGTTAAAATTTAAACTTAAAGTAAAAGATAGCAAGATTAAGTGCTTTCTCCCTTCCTCTAGCTCACTAAATATCTTTTTAATAATAGCATTTTGGAATTTGTTCTATTTCTGATCTTAAACTAAAATAATACATTATTTAAAGTTATAGAAACAGGTTAAATTCAATCTTCCAACAATAACCTCATCATCATCACAGTGAATTAATTAGGCCTTTTGGTTGCCATTAAAATGACTGGAAAAATCACATTCAGAATCTAGAAACTTGTACTTTATACAAGTTTCACATAATTTAGATTCAATAACTAGGTTCAAAGGGAAGAAGCTACATATGGTTAAATATTAAGAACACTAATAGAGTTGGTCAAAGGGAGACTGGGTTGCCTTAGGAAAAATGAGAATTGTTCAAGCATATTTAGAATAAGAGATTCAGGTAAAGAATGTAGGTTTACCTCTTACCTTTATGCTTCTAAAATAAAAAACCAAAAAAACAAAAACCCTATAATTATAGCAATCTTGAGAGGAGAGTTAAGCTACCAGACACAAAGTAAAAATGTTTGGCTTCATCTTACTTCACAAGTAACATTTTTTCATACCGCCATTAGAGATGAGGAGTTCAAAATAGTCCTGTGTGTGGATGTTGAATGTTCTAAACCAATAGTTAGCTGGTCAGAAGTCTTTTTAAAGTCCTGCGAACAATTCTTTATCCTGAAAAATGTCAAGTACATTATTTTAAATACCACATTAATATAACAATTTTAACCTTCTATTCTGATTTTTACTATCAAAAATAATTCATATGACAACTTATAATAACAATTATAGTGGGTTCTTAGTCATCTATGATAAGCAAAAAGAGGGAAACCATGGCTAAATATGCTTCCATATAAAAATAATTTTACCAAGAATTCAACTTCTTAGCAAATCCCTAAAAATAAAAAAATTTATCTCACAGTATAAATTGTGCTTTAATCTCCTAATTAACCTCTCCTTACCTGATTTTTTTTTTTTAAAGATTTTATTTATTTATTTGAGACAGAGAGAATGAGAGAGAGAGAGCACATGAGAGGGGGGAGGGTCAGAGGGAGAAGC